CCGGCACCATGGTTATTACCAGCGGGGTCCCCCCCCCCCAGAGACAGAGCGCTGCCAGCCTGACAAATCACATATCTCTGCAGAACATTGCTCCATCCCATCTCTCCCCTGACAGATCCGTATTGATATATCCTGCAGATTATTCCACCACTGACCCCTCTATAGATCTGCAGAACATTGCTCCGTCCCATCTCCCTCCTGACAGATCCGTACTAATATATTCTGCAGAGTATTCCATCACTGACCCCTCTATAGATCTGCAGAGCATTGCTCCATCCCATCTCCTCCTGACAGATCCATATTGATATATTCTGCAGATGATTCCATCACTGACCCCTCTATAGATCTGCAGAACATTGCTCCATCCCATCTCTCCCCTGACAGATCCGTATTGATATATCCTGCAGATTATTCCATCACTGCCCCCTCTAGAGATCTGCAGAACATTGCTCCATCCCATCTCTCCCCTGACAGATCCGTATTGATATATCCTGCAGATTATTCCATCACTGCCCCCTCTAGAGATCTGCAGAACATTGCTCCATCCCATCTCCCCCCTGACAGATCGGTACTAATATTCTGCAGATTATTCCATCACTGACCCCTCTATAGATCTGCAGAACATTGCTCCATCTCCCCCCTGACAGATCCGTATTGATATATTCTGCAGATGATTCCATCACTGACCCCTCTACAGATCTGCAGAGCATTGTCACCTACCTGCAGGATGAACACTAACCATTCTGGGACTTGTAGTCCTCCGGTATTTGCACACGGCTGTAAATGACGTGAGAGGTGCTGGGACTTGTGGTTCCTCAGCATCCCGCCATGACATCAGAGGCTCTGATAAAGTACGAGATCACCTTCTCTCCCGGAGTTTCTCCAGTAATGAACGACGACTTCTGGGCGACCGTTCCATTTTTATACTGCTCTTCACTTCTGATGACGTTTTATAAATGGCTCCGGCTGTAACCTCGGGTAGCGGGACGTTGTCGTCCTTCCCTCTCAGGTGCAGGCTGGTGTGTATTGTATACAGGAAGTGACACCCATCTATATACTATGACATCATAGAGTGTCGCAGGCGACGGAGCGCTCACTCTTCTATGTTTCTATGTCATCGGGCTGTGAGTGAGTGGAGAGCACTTACCTCTGGTGGCGGGGGTGGTCCTGGCAGTGAGGGTGGCGGTGGTGGTCCTGGCAGTGAGGGTGACGGTGGTGGTCCTGGCAGTGAGGGTGACGCACAGGACGAGGATGCGCAGAGCTGCCGGGGTCATACCAGCCGAGAAGAGATCCATGGCTGAGTGTGGCTCTGCCTGTCCGCTGTCCTCCCAGACTCATGCTAATGAGGGGCGTCCGTGGGGGGGATCATGAATGAGGAATGAGC